TTTTGGATAATCCAGCGGATGTTGGCAATTTGATCTCTGATTCCTCTGCCTTTTCTAAAACCATCTTGAGCATCTGGAATCACGGTTCATGTATTGCTGAAGCCTGGCTTGGAGAATTTTGAGCATTACTTTACTAGTGTGTGAGATGAGTTGCCATTGTGCGGTAGTTTGAGCATTCTTTGGCATTGCCTTTCTTAGGGATTGGAATGAAAACCTTTTCCAATCATTTAGTAGTTTCATAATGTTGTACAACTACCCTCTGTATATATTAATAGGTCTGAAACTTTTCCATTCTTCTGAAGTAAAATCCCCTATCCATTAAGCAGTTTCTCCATTTTATTCCTTTCCCTGGCCCCTGGCAATCACCAGTCTGCATTTTATCTCTATGGATTCATATATTTTGGATACATCATATAAATGGAATCATTCAATATATGACCTTTTGCACATGACTTCTTTCACAGAGCATGTTTTGAGATTCATCCACTCTGTAACATTTATCAATATTTAATACCTTTTTATAGTTAAATAACATTCCATATATTCCACTGTATGTATATATAGAATTTGTTTATCTTTTCCTCCTTTTATGGACATTTGGGCTCTTTCCACATTTTGGCTGTTGTGAATAGTGATGGTGTAAACATGCGTGTACATGTACTTGTTTTGAATACCTGTTTTCAGTTCTTTTGGATATATACCTGAGAGTAGAATTTCTGGGTCATGTGGTAATTCTGTGTTGAACTTTTTGAAGAACTCCCAGTGTTTCCAACATTCCTTGGATTTTAAGTTTGAGAAGATTATCTAGGATATTGCGAGTGCTCTGAGATGTTGTTTATATCAGGGTGATTTTACCTGAATGATTTTACCCTTCCAGGGGACATTTGGAAATGTCTGGAGACATTTTTTTTTTTTAAGGTATAGTTGATTTGTAATATTGTGTTAGTTTCTGGTGTACAGCAAAGTGATTCAAAGTTTTATATATATACACACACACACATTTATATTAGATTATTTTCCATTATATGTTATTATAAGATATTGAACATTGTTCACTATGTTATACAGCAAATCCTTGTTACTTACCTATTTTCTGAATAGTAGTTTATACTGTTAATCCCATACTCCTAGTTTATCCCTTCCTCACCCCCTTCCCCCTTTGGTGACTGTTTTTCTTTTCTATGTCTGTGAGTTTGTTTTTATTTTGCATATAGATTTATTTGCATTATTTTTTTAGATTCCACATATAAGTGACATAATTTTTATCCTCTCTGTCTGACTTTGCTTAGTTATGATCATCTCTAGGTCCATCTATGTTGCTGCAAGTGGCAATGGTTCATTCTATTTTTTATGGCTGAGTAATATTCTTTTGTTTGTGTGAAATATTCTTGAACCAGTCATCTGTTGATGGGCACTTGGGTTGCCTCCACAGCTTGACTTTTGTAAATAGTGCTGCTATAAACATTAGGATACATGTATCTTTTCTAATTGTCATCTTGTCCAGATATATGCCCAGGAGTCGGATTGCTGGATCATATGGTAGTTCTATTTTTAGTTTTTTAAGAAACCTCCATATTGTTTTCCATAATAGCTGCACCGGTTTGCATCCCCACCAACAGGGCAGGAAGGTTCCCTTTTTGGAGAGAGTTGTGATTATCACAGCTGTACTTGCTATAGGATCTAGTGGGTAGGGGCCAGGGATGCTACTAAACATCCTGTAACGCACAAGACAGCCGTCTGCAACAGAAAAATTACTTGGTTCTGAGTGTCAGTAGTGCCAGAGAAACTTGGCTCAGTCAGTTTTATTGTCATCATTAGAGTGCTGGGTTTTTTTTTTACATTCACCTCGTGAATCTAATAAATGTGAAACTTTTTCTCTGTCAGTTCTCTCTTTGCTGTTAGGGGAAGAATATGAGGGATTCTGAAGTACTAGTTCAATGAAAGCTAACAAAAAAGACTACAAAGATGGTATCTCTGGTGTTTTGTATCTTTTTGAAAGATGAAGCAGTGCTTTGGGCATCACCATAAAAACTGAAAGATGATGCAGTGGCTATAATGTATTTCACTGTTGGATTATTGGGGTGATTACTTCACTATTGCATTATTTGGGGTGATCCTCCTTTTTCTCCTTAGTTTAGTCTTTTTTGGCATAGTTGAGAATTATTGATTAGGACATGTCAGAGTAATTCCTAGGATAATGAAATAACAAACTTTAAAGGTATAGGGAAATTAATCACTAAGATTCCGTAATATATTACAGATTTCTAATAATGTGCAATGAACCTATATGGTAATTTTGTTCTATTTAAAAATGAATAAATCTTCTTTGTTCTTTAAAACTCTCTAGAAAGACTGAAAGTCATGAGATAGCAATCTTTACATATAATTAGAACAGCTCAAAAAAAACTTCAGGAACAAAATTTGGATACAGGGATAATCACTATGCTCTATAGCTCCCTTGGGTGGTATTTCACTCTGTACTCTCAGGACATTATAATTAAAAATCAATTTTGATTTCTATTTTGTTTTTAGAAATTTTGCTTGATATATTTCCCTCCTTAGTTCTCAAAATAATTATATCTTAATTAATTAATTAATTAATTAATTATTTTTAGGAGAGAGGGGGAAAAAAAAGCCTTCAGAAAAATTATACCTGCCAGTATTAACAAGAACTTGAATTAAGAAAATTTTCATACTCAGCAAATTGAAGCTTAACACCACAGGAGCTGTAGCTACTGACCAGGTAAGAATTAAGAATGTATTTTACTTTTATTTATTCTTTCAGGATATTGTTATAACAATATTATGAAAATGTGTTACTTTTAACACAGATCAAAAGCCCAGATTTAAGAGCTCTTGAAAGTCACAAGTAGCATTTTTGTTCTTGTCTGCTTTCTATAAACTTCTTAAAAATAGTATAGTTTAGAACACTTATCAATATATTTCATCTCCAAATGTTGGTTTTTTATTAAATCTTATTATCTTATCTTAAATGTTTTAGTTTGCTAAATATTTTTTTCTGTTTGCTGAGACATCTCATTTTGCTAAAAACACAAGTTTGACCTGCCAGATTTTCTTTCCCTCTGCTCCCCACATAGCTCATGTATATTCACAGCATCTGGAGTCTGTGTAAAGTCATCAGAAACAACACAGGGGGAATAGATAAACTGAACACAGCTGGGAATTTACTTTGGCCTGGAATATATAAAGTGTCTAAATTTTTTCCCCCATTTGTTCTTTATGTTAGTAAGCTTGCACTGATCCAAAAGAATTTTTTTTTCTTGGAAGGGAATAATATTTTGCAGAGGAATAAATGTCTTTTATATTTTAAATACACAGGGCTTTATTTTGTTTTGTTTTCAGTCAACAGCCATTAAAAAGTATTGTGTATTGAATGCCATATTTGAGTTATGGAATTTTAATGAGAATTTAATGGAGAATTTATTTGTAAATGTTGCTGTTAGGAGTGTTAAGATTGTGAAGTGGAAGTTTTGTTTGGACTATCAAGTTTTCTTATGTGCCTTTTCATTTTTTAAAGAGAGTTTATCTGTTATCAGTCTCACAAACTTGTGGAGTGAAGGATGCCAGACCCAAAACATATTATTTTGTTTATATAAAATTCAAAAACCCTGAGAAGGTGTGCTGTTAGACCTTGGAATTCTACCTTTGCAGGGTGTTGGAGAATAGGAAGGGAGCATAAGGGATTCTTAGGTGCTGGTAAGGTTCTTTCTTCGTCTAGGTGGTGGTTATGGTGGTACGTTCACTTTGTACAGATTCCATGGTTGTATCATTTGGGCACTTTTCTAAATTAGGATTTGAATGAAGTTTGCATTATTAACAGTGTTAAATATTTGCAGGATTAAATTGTTAGTTTCAGCAAACATGATTAGGCAATAGTGTAATGATTATAAGTTAGAGTTAGTAGAGCTGTTCTAACTAGTATAACAAAGTGGACAAGTGACTAAATTAATCTGTTAATGTTTATTTAGTTTCAAATATAATTTGTAGTAATACCATTTTCTAATACATACATGTAGGAAGAATAGGAATTTTAAGGCATAGCAGCAGTTTTCAAGCAGAAAAAATTGCTTTGTTATTATTTAGTTGTACTAATATTAATTTTTATAATTTGATTACTCCTTTTTGTGTATTTGTGGCCATATTAGTACCCTTGATATTTTTTCCTTTGATTTCTTCTGTGAAATTTTTGAGCTTATAGGAGTATCTTCTGTAGTTACTCCAGAGATGAGAAAAATCAGATCGACATTTCGAAGTTAATCTTCTTTGTATTGATTTACTCTAAAATTGAGACCAGCAGCCGAATTTCCTTAGTGAAAATGGTGTATATCTTCACAGTGTCTGATATAATGCAGACTATCTGTGTGGATTCTAGAACACTATCCTAATGCCATTTAATGTTTACTTTATAATATTTCGTTTAGTATAATGAGTGTGTTTTAAAGCCTTTGATGCTAATTCAGAGATCCATAATCTGCTCACAATGTCTTTCACATGTAGTTTTGATGATAACTGACAAGCTGTAAGTTAATTAGCACAGAACTTACTAATGAGGATGTTAAAATTTAATTTAAAAGTGAGGATTTTTATTTGTACACTCTGGACAAATTGAAGGAGATTCAATCATACATATGATAAGCATTTCAGGCACTTTTTCCTCATTCAGGTACTTTATTAGATAACAATAAGAAAATATAATTAACTTAATGATAGCAAAGTTTTGAAAGTATGCTAAGATTGCTTGTCTTTAAAACTGGGGATAACCCAAAACCAAAGCAGTAAAATAAGGTCTGTTAATTAGCATGGAAGACAGCTTCTTGAATTAATATGTGGTGTTAATTAACAGGAAGTCTGATGTTGTGTTGTAATTACCACCAATATTTTTGACATACTGAGTGACTGAAGGTGAATTACATAGATAGCAATTGAATAAACACTTTTGTGCTTAGGAACGTTTCTCTTTGTTTCTGTTTTCTAGAAGTATGGACAGACTTCTTAGACTTGGAGGAGGTATGCCTGGACTGGGCCAGGTTAGTATATGGACTAACTATTTCTTTGTGTGTTAATTACAAGCCTTTCACGAGTTATCCAAACAGAAAGAAATCACTCCCAAGAAATTCTCCTCATAGTTAACCTTATGGTAAAAAGCTTCCCTTACTGCTGGTTGTTGTATACCAACACTAAATAACTTGTGAGAATATGTTCTATTATCTTAATTTAATTTTCTCCTAGGAATAAGAATTTTCTCTGCTTTGATTTAAACTTTTGAGATATGCAAGATAATCACACTTGCCTTTTGGTTAAAAAAAGAGAGACTTATAATATCCTATTTCTGGGTTTACAATGTAGACTAAAAGTAACACATGAAAAAGTAAACATTGCATACTATTGGTAAGATCCAGAAAGCCCGTAGAATGTATGTACGATCTTAACACTGATAAATTCCTTCTAGTAATTATGATACATGGATGAATAAGTAATACCTCTTTTTCCTTTAAATTTGGTATATATGATTTCTTTCACATTCTTACTAAAATTAAATTAATTTTCAGTTAATTTTAATATTATGTTTTATCTTGTTCTGTACAGTTGAGGCAAATAGCCTCCAGATAGATTTCTATCTTAGGATATTCTGTCTGCTTTCAGCTGAAGAAGAAATTTCTCCTTTTTTGAATTCTACAGTGATTGTCTTCCCAGTCTTCCAGTCACAAAAAAGATGACTATGTGAGACTTTTATGTAATATATTATTTTATGTCGACATTTTGGGAGTATTTTTCTAACCCACCTTTAGAACCCTTTTAGTGATCAACTTTCCCATATTTCCCTATCACTATCAATGACTTTGTCTTCCTTTATTCATAGTAGTCTAATATTTTGTGTGAGAAATAGTTGTGTTTGAGATTTCATGAAATTTTCAATGTTTCTTAGGCACTTTTACAAGAATTCTGTGTTAGGCCCATTGTACTTGATGACTAATAAACCTTTTCCTTTTAGGATGTTGAAATCATTTTATGATTCTGTATTTTATCCTTGCATAGACCATTTGTTAGTTTTGGCTATTTCTCATGTTCCTTTTCTATAAGCATGTTTCTTTATGATTCTTCATTTTTCTAAAATCTTTGTAATACGTTTGCTTAAGAGGTCTAAGTTTCTCTGAACTTGGCCCCTAAAGCTGCTTTCATACTTTTGCAAACATTATAGATAGCTTCTAGAATTTTCTGATTCATTCTAAAATCAGCAATAATATTGTTTAAGTATATAGAAGTGTCAAAAGTGAACTGAGGTGGTGTATAGATGCTTCACATTAGCCTGCAAATTACATGTAGGTAAAGGTATTACCTTATTGGAATTCTTAAGAGAAGTTGCTTCAAATTTAAATACCAAAATAACTTTTCCCTTAAATAGTAGATGCAGTAAATTATATATCCATGCCAGAAATCCATGCCTGGAAATTGCTGGACATGAAATGATGGTTTGACGGACCACAAATTGATTTGCAGCATACCTCAGTGACCACTGCAGACCTTTGCATTGAGCGGAACACTAAGTGTTGGTTCAGTAACCTGGCCTTAGTTTTGGATAATTTCATCAGCACGTGTTCCTCCTCAATTTGTATTCTTATTTAAACTTAAAACTGTGTTGTCTGAGAATCTGTTACTTCATGTGTTTCATTTTTCTGATTAGATGACAGACTTTCAAAAGAATGATACATGGGGTTCTTATTTCTGTGATAACCTTGTTTGTCAAATACTAGGTGTTCAATAATTATATTTTTTCTTAAAATTTTATTTTGCTCTTGTTCTAGATGTTACTTCTACAAAATGAAGTGTTGTGTATTATTTTGTAATGAGTGAAAAAGTTAAATATTGTTTATTTAAAAAATTGTTTTTGGCTGTGCATGCGTGGCATATAGGATCTTAGTTCTCTGACCAGGGATCAAACCCACGCCTTTGCAGTGGAAGCAGGGAGTCTTAACCACTGGAGTGCCAGGGAAGTCCCAAGTGTATTATTTAGTTTTAATAAAAAGTCAAAGATCTTTGAATTGATAATAGCTCGTTTCCATTTGATAATGTGTAGCAGCCAATAAAAGTAGAAAAGGAGATATAAGTTGTTTTATCCCTCCAGAAATAAGTGGGAAGTGTTACTGTCTTACCATAAAATGGAAAAGTCAGAATTTCTTCATAAATAGGGGCAGGTTACTTGCTGTTAGCGTTGTCGATGGCCCTTTAAAACATTGAAATTGTAGCAGAAGTAAGTTTCCCATCCATCCTACTGACTCTGCTTTCTTTGACTAGAAATGACATTTCTCTTTTCCCTGGCTAATCCTTTCACTTACTCTCTGATCCCATCCTGTCTTGAAACCTTACTCATCTCCACTGACCTTTTTCTCTGTTACAAAGATATTTAAATGTCCTGTATCCCCCCCAAAAGTGCACTGCATCCTGCCATTAAATGTTTCATTTCCAGAATTCCTGTAGTAATAGCTTAGGCTCACATATTCTACCTCCTTACTTCCATTGAGTGATGAGATTATATTCTGGCCTCCTCCATTACTGTACTAGAATTGTTCAACTTGTCAAGTGAGCCATCACTTTGAGTTCTCTTTTCACTGTTTTAATATATCGCATTGTTCACAGTGTCTTTCTTGAATCTTTCTTCCATTAGCTTTATCCTGTTACTTTTTCCTAGTTCTTCATTATGGTATGCATACCTTATAAGACAACTTAAAGTTTTTTTTTAATATTACATTTTAAAATGTTATTATTTGAAAAGTAGCAGACTAAAATCATTAAATCTGTCCATAATACCCTACTTCAGTATAACTTATCAGTAGTGAAGCAAAAACAGATGTTTTATTAGAACTATTACAGTTTGTAAATGAATAGCTTTTTGTTTCAAATATGTTTTTATTTACTTTGCTACAGTACTTATGAACTTGAAATTACTGAAAGATGTGAGATGATTGTATTAAAAGTATTTATTGCTCTCCTTAGACTGCTTGATTGTCTTTATAACTATCCCAACCTAGGTCTTGGCAACTAAGCTATTTCCAAAAGCAGTCAAGGCTAAACCCAAGAGATGGGCATAGCCAAAGTATAGTCAGCAGTCTCTAAAAGTTTCTTTTTAAATGATTTAATAATAGTTACTTTATTTTATTTATTCATATTTTGGCCTTGCCACGTGGCTTACAGTCTTAGTTCTCTGACGGGGGATCGAACTCGTGTTTCCTGAAGTGGAAGCTTAGAGTCCTAACCACTGGACCACCAGGGAATTCCACCCACAAGTTTAGGGGCTTCCCTTCTGATCTAGTGGCTGAGACTCTGCACTCCCAAATGCAGGGGGCCTGGGTTTAATCCCTGGTCAGGAAACTAAATCCCACATGCCTCAGCTAAGTGTTCATGCCACAACTGAAAGATTCTGCATGCCACAGCTGAGACCTGGTGCAGCCCAATAAATATATATTAAAACAAATTTAAATAGAAGTTTGAGTTTAAGTCTGTTGGTTAATTTTAACTTTAGAAAGAGTTGAGATAAGCTTAAAAGTGAATGAAACTGGAGTAAAATGTCAGTGGCATTATCTTGTATTTGAATTCTTTAGACCAGTGTTTTGACTTTTTTAATATGTTGGTTGGTATGCTATAGGGAATACCAAAGTAAACGAGAATATCATTATTTAGTCTAGGGACCTAACAATCTAGTAGACATACAACAGTTATGTTTTAAGGGCCTGGCACATATTAACTACTTCGAATTAGCAAATGTTATATATTATTATAAATAATGTGATTTTTATAGGATATGATATTTAATTTTTTACACAAAAAGGGAAAGTGAGATTGAATTGAGGAAATGATGCTTGAACTAAAATTTGTATTATAACCAAGAAATAACTGAGAAAAGCCAGGAGAGCAGGTGATATGAGGGGAAATAGTGGGAAAGGAAGCTGATAAAGGAGTTTGGAGTAGATTAGATTACAGGCATTCAACAGGTATTGAATGCCGTTCTTAGTGATTTGACTTTTTCTCCAATTGTTGTACTTTGATGAAGACTTTTTATTTTTTTATCAGAGTTGTGAGATAATTCCACCTGTGTTTTTGAAAAGTAATTCTAGTGGTAGTTTGGAGAATAGGTAGGAGGAAAGAGTTTAAAGTCATCAATTATATGAAATATTACTGGCTTTTATCCTTCTAGGAACATAGTAGGATTATGCCTTTCCATCATTTTTGAATTTGGCCTGCTTGTGATTTTGCTTTGGCCAGTTGAGTGTGAATTGGAAATTAACAGGTCACTTCTAGACAGAAACTTTAAGGATCAGTGTGTGATTTGCTTGCCCTGGTAACCCAGGAAGCATGGAAATGGAATCTCTCTGAATGGAATCTCTCTCAGAGAGAGAGACATAACAACCTGTAAGTCAGAAATCCTATGACTTTTGTGTGAAATTCTTGAATTTTGTTTTTAAGAAACATGGTATAGGCCCAACTAAACACAAATTAAAAACATATGTTTTACCTGTAAGCTACCAGATTGTATCTTTCTAACACTGACTTCAGTAACTTCTGATGCAAAAATAAGGGAAAATACTATAGGGGGTGGTCAGAAAAAGCTTTCTGAAAGTGGTGAGATGTAAGATACATTTTGAAGGATTATTCTGGGTGACTAGACTTAAAAAAAAAAAAGCTTCACAAATTGAATATGATCTGTTTTATTTGTTATATAACTCCCAAATCCACAGTGTATGGATTTTTTATTTAAAACTAATAACTATTTGTTGGTTTCTGTTATGAGTCTTGGAGTAGAAATCTTCTTTCAATTATTTATCGTACAGGTTTTAGTGTAACATTTTATAGAAGGGATTAATTTAATATAGTAATGGGGGAAATGACTGGAATAAATGAAGAAGTAACACCATTTTCATGAATGATGAGTTTCAATATCACATGCCAGTTCTCTCCAGTTAATTGTAAATTCAATGCAGTTCCAATAAATATACCAACCAGAATTTTCGTGGAATTAGAAAACTGATTATAA